CAAACACATATCTGAGTTACATCTTTCAATATCTTTGAAGTATCTGTGATTGGAGTAACAAGGCCGGAGCAGCTTTCAGCTCACAGAATCAGGCAACTTTTTAAAACAATATGAGTATCTTGCAAAAGACATATTTATACACAGTGGCCATGTCTACACATGTATCTACATGCGCCTAAATGCAATGCACCTTTGCTTAAGGTACATTTAGGTGATTTAGGTATGTGTCTACACATGGACACGCTAATGTGCATTAAGGCACATTACATTTAGGTGTGAATAGCTAAGTTGCATTAGCACACATGCAGATGCGCTAATGTGCCATAACACGGTGTTTATCCATTGATGCACACCACGTTAATGAGCATTAGCACATCTACAAATGCTCCACTGTGACTTAGCTATTCACACCTAAATTTGATATCTGCTTTGTGCAGGTATCAAATTTAGGCTCACATAGCTTTAAAGTGCCATTTTAAAGGTGCATTAAGGGTGCACACGTGCAAATGCATGCTTTTAATGTGCCTTAAAAATGGTGATTTTAGGTTAAACTTACTTAAGAGAGACATGCCTGGTGTGTGTGTGTGTGTGTGTGTGTAGATAGGTGTGTGTGTATGTATGTGTATATATGTATGTAGATACACACACAGTGTCCTTTATTTTTATTTTTTTTATGAATCTGTTTGAAGCAGGTACCCTTTTCTGTTTATGAAAAAACATGTATATTTAGTACTGTGTTGCTGTACTGCTGAGGATTTTTTTTTCTGGGTATTATTATTTACTGTAATGATGTGTGTGTGTGTGTGTGTGTATGTGTGTCTTTGTGTGTGTGTGTGTAAACACACACACACACAGTATGTATAATGTCTGTTTATATTGGAGCAGGTTTTAACTCACAGAAGCAGGCAACTTCTCAAAACGATATGAGCATCATACAAAAGAGATATTTATACACTATAGGTACACAATATATCTATATCTCTATATATAGATATTGATATATTGTGTATATAATATACACAATATTTATATATAGTGTATATATTATGTAAATATATTGTGTGTGTGTGTCTTTTGTATGATATTTGTCTTGTTTTGAGAAGTTGCTGTCTCTCTCTCTCTCTCTATATATATACCTGCTATGTGTATGTTAATGTGTATGTGTATATAATGTCCTTTTTAAATCAAGGTTAGGTTCTTGAACTTGAAAGCAACTAGAGTCTAACCAAGGGCCAATTCAGACTTCAGTGCAGCAGCACCATGGTTAGGGATAGGGTTGAAACTGAAAAGGCCAGTTTCTGAAGAATTAATATTTTTAGTATCTTATGAACTGCTCTGATGTCATACTCTGTATTACTTAGAACTAAATTTTTCCCATGCTTATTCATCTGGGCAAATGTGAGTTCACAATAGTGGTCATATACTCCTACAAAAATAAATCTACATTCCAAACAGCAACAACACATAGCTCTTATGGGAGAGGCAAGGAATGTTGTGTGTAATACCTTATATTAGACCAACCTCATGGTTGGTGTAGATTTAGACAAGCTTCTTATGAGAAATGTTCTTTATCAGGGATTTGAAAGCATGTCGATCCCAACCATACAGTTAGTCCAATAACAGATATCACCCACAACAATCCTTGTCTCGCTCATAATTTCTGGATCATCATGGCCTATCATTCCAACATTAACTAACTTTTATGGAATGTGGTCACTTCAAAGTACTATACAAACATCATGTATTTAAGTATGAAGGGAGGTCCTGGTCAAGCTTGTGATAGATTAAAAACTCTTTTCTTAATAATGGTACTCTATTTTAAACTTGTTGCTTTAAAAATAATAGGATGGTGAAGACTTTTAAAGATACTGGCAGTTCGATGCTTAACTCTGACTAAAGCCCATTTGTCCATCTGAAAACTCTAAATCTGAAGCTCTAAATCCTGTTTTAGTTCCCAAATTAAAGTGATCTGATTTTCATCAATGAAAAAGTCATAAATCTAGGGGTGCACCGATAGAGATTTTTGGGGCCGATACCAATAGTCAATATTTAAGGAGGCATATTGGCTGATACCGATCCAATTTCCAATACAGCTGCCTCCAGCTGGTAAGTCCAGTGTGGTGGAAGGGGAGGGGAAGGGAAGAGGCATGGGGGAGGCAGATCAATGCACCCCATGGTGAGGGAGGGGACAGGGGCAGGGACAGGCACTGCCCAGGTGGGGTGGGGCTGGAGCTGTGATTCATGGGGTGGGGGAGGCAGATCCAGCCACTGCTTGCACCCCTGGAGGGCACGGGGAGGGGGACATGTCCCCCCCCGGACCTGCACGGGGTGGGGGGTGGGTGGGTTGCAGCTGGGGCTGTGCAGGGCTCTTCTTGGTGGGGGCTGGGCTTGGAGCAGGTGCCGGTGGCGCTGGGAGGATGCTACATACACCCCAGATTTCACCGTCGCTCTGTTCCCAGTGCCACTGCCAGCTGCTCAGTGCAGCTCCCGCTTTTCCCAGTGCATGGGTGGAGGTGGGGGCCGTTGAGTGGGGGTGTGCTGGGCAGCTGGTGGCTGCAGCTCTGGGAGTGGAGCAGGGGCAAAATTTGGGGTGGATGCAGCATCCTCCCAGAGCTGCTGGTGCCCACTCCAAGCCCAGCCCCAGCCAAGAAGATCCCCATGCAGCCCTGGCTGTAGCCCATCCCAACCCATGCAGATCCAGAGGACACATGCCTCCCATGCTCCCCCAGAGTGCAAGCAGTGGCGGGAGCTACCTCCCCGCACACCCCCATGAGCCACGGCTTCGTCCCCTCCGCCTGGGCAGCACCTGCCCCTGGCCCCTACAAGCCGTGGCTTTCCCCTCCCAGCCTGGGCAGCACCTGCCCCTGGCCCCTCCCACACTGTGGGGAGAGTTGATTTGCTTCCCCCTCTCCTTCCACCACACCAGACTTACCAGCTGGAGGCAGCTGTCCATGCTGCTGGCTGTGCTCCTCGCTGCCTGAGTACTGTGTTGCGGCTGTGGCTGCTGCTGCACACAGCACAGGCATTTATCAGCCAAATTATTGGCCCCATTGTTCTGATATCTGATACAGCCAGTTTTCTTTATAACGGTACCTATTCAATATTGGACCTATGTATCGGTGCACCTCTACATAAAATCTCATTAATTTAAGTAGGATTTATAAGTATTCAGAACAAATCAGACCATTTTTATTTGTTTCAATATTAGTAATAAGACAGCTCTCACTTAGCACTTTCAGTCGGAGATCTCTGCATATTTTGCAAAGGAGGGTAAATGTCATTATTCCAATTTTATAGATGCAGAACCTTTAATTAAATATACATATACAAGACAAAATGTAACTAGGTTTGCAGTTATGAAAGATTTCCAATATTGTTATGTAGTATATTAAATATTCTCATTCACTTATTGTTTTTAAGCAAAAGTAATCTCTGAGACTATTTGCCTGTTAGTCCAAGGTGAACAGGTAGGGTATCACATAGGTGATGGTTCTCCATTTGTTGCACTGAGCAAGTTACCAGCATTTTTCAGCATCTGCTAGCCTTGAGAGCTTGAGATCATGTTTGGAACTCAACTGCAAATCCTCATTTGGGTGGCCTTTCTTCAGCCTCAAGTTACTATAAACCTGATCTATTTCCTTTTTTTCTGAATTGAATTGACATATTCCAGTATAGCAGTATCTTCATGCCAGATGGCTTCATTCCATTGGTCATAACAACTTTAAAAAAAAAAGTTTACTTCCTCATTACTAGATCCTGTGAAAATATTGGCACATCTGTCACTTAACAACTAACCATAGGAAAACTTGAATAAAATCAAGAAAATAAATTCTGTCGACAAATGTTTTAGCTCAGTAGTGGCTTCCAGAATACATTTCCTTAGATTTATTAAAAATATACCAGAAAAGAGACTTGAATTGTTTTCTGATCGAATTGCCAAAAGTCAAGATTGTTTTCTGATACAAGAGGAACAAAGCCTAAATTTAGTAGATGCTACACATCCTTATGCTGCTTTTTCTGTCTATCACTCTTTGTACCAACTTTTGTAGCTGATGTGGCTTGAATCATCACCTATATATACTTACAAATCCTAAGAAACTTATGACTAATGACATCCAGTACAAAATCTCTTGAGCTATATATTTTTATTGTTGAGTTTAGAATTGAGAGCTTACTGAAAACCAAAGGAATACTCTAGCTATAGTGCTACATAGTACTTCTGATTGCTGTATTCGATGCATCTTATTTGTTACAGTTTTGATTTCACCCACAGATTCATATATCAAGTTGGCAAATGTATTATACAATACATGGGGTTTCTTTAGTACGTGTATAGACAACAATCAAAGGTAGAATAATTTATCAGTAAGTTTATAAAATAGTTATTGACTGGTCACTGGTAAAAGAAATGAAATTAAATTAAAGAGTTAAAGTATTACTTTAAATTGTTAATTTTTATGCTACACCAAGAAATGAATAATGAATCACACGTTAACTATAACATTTGAACAGAATATAATGAGACAATTTTATTTTCAAAGGGAAACTGAAGATCATTGCACAAAAATATTTATAATTGAGCCCCTACTTTTGCATAAGCAATTAATCTGTGTATTTGAGGATCTATAAAACTGGCTAATTGGCTATGATTTAACAAGTACAAAACAAAGAGAGAAGAGTTAGAGGCCAGATTGTCAACCCCTTATATACAAAAATGTGTACCGACACAAGTCATACCATTGAACAGCAATGGGATTACTTGAGTAAGTCAGGGATCATCAGCAGTTAAGAAGGATATTACAGTCAAGTCCTAATGAGGAAGAAACCACCCAATGTATGTAGACCCATGCCAAGGAAGTGAATGAAGCCAATAAAAACATGAATGAAAGAAAATATGTATAATAAAATAAAAACAAGCTTATTTCACATTCTGTTTTCATCAGATGGATGATTCACGGATGGATGATTCATACTGTGTGTTTTTCTTGTTTGTTGTGCAGGTACTGGCTGACAAACAAAGTCCATATCAAAAGACCCAGCACCGGTCTCCTTATGTACACCCTGGCTACCAGATTTTGTGATGAAATTCATCTGTATGGATTCTGGCCATTCCCAAAGGATTTAAATGGAAAACCAGTCAAATACCATTACTACGACGATTTAAAGTATCGGTATTTTTCTAATGCCAGCCCTCATAGAATGCCATTAGAGTTTAAAACTTTATATATGTTACATAACAGAGGAGCACTTAAACTAACAACAGGGAAATGTGTACAGCAATAAAGCACATGTACAGTACAATAAAAATACCGAATATGCACTTCATCATAAAGATGTTGTGAAATGGCAATGGGATACCACAGAGGATATATTTCAATACCCAATAAGCCATTGGGAAAAGGAAGTTTATCAGAAGTCCATTACCAGCTATTATACCTGTAAAGTGCTATAAAACGAAAGTTATCTTGACTGCAAGGGTTCAAGTAAGTGCCACTTTTCACTAAGAACAAAGCTTGAATGTATAATCAGTACTGTTTACAAGATCCAATGATACATTCTTCATGAAAAAAAGAAGCAGCAAATAGCCCTTTTTTACTGCTGACTTGCTACTGTAGTCTGACAGCTTATAGAAGAAATACCCAGTGGATGGAATCTGCCCATGGGGAAATAAAACAGCCTTTGGCAGAAGAATTCTTGGTTGAATTAGTAGAGATGTGAAGTCTGTAAGATCAAGCAGATCAAGTAAATGCCTTCAGTCAGGGGACTGTCTGACCTTGTATTATAACCTCATCTTTTGTTGCTGGTTCCTTGTTGTTGTTGTTTGGTTTTTTCTTGCATTTGGGTATTGTAACCCTAAAGGGATTTTATAAGGATGATATGAACAGTTTAAAGAAGTCATCAAATAGTTGTCTTAGAAGAAAAAGGTTATTATTGGGGGAAAAAATCAAATACTTTAACAATCTTAATTGTGTTGTATCCGGTTGTTACACAATTCCAAAACTCCATATCGTTGGATTTTTTAAATTTTTTGTTTGTTTTTTAGCTGTAGTTGTCAGTAACAGCTAAACAGAACCCTCAGAGACCAGTATTTTTGAGCCATTTTTAAAGAAAGTTTTGTCTGTTACATGTCAATTAGGGAAGACATGTGTAACAAGAAGGTGCCCTTATTTTTGGTACCAAAGATACACTGATTTTTTGTATACAGCTACCTTTTTTCTTTTTATGAAAAAACATGTACATTTAGTACTGTGTTGCTGTACTGCTGAGGAAAAAAATGTTTCTGGGTATTATTATTTACTGTAATTTATATTGACTGACTTGTTTGAATGAAGAAGCTTCAAACAGATTTTCTAAGCTAACTTTGCCAGGAAAGGTTTGTTCTTTTGAAAAATCTAATACTGTTTATTGCAAGCATTCAGCTATATTTAAATTTGATTTTTATTTCCATTTAGGCAAAAGGAATTTTTCAATTTCATAATTCTTGTATTAAAACACACTAGTTTACTAAATAGAAAAAATTATTTTGGGGGATCTCTAATTTCTTTAAACCAAGGTGGTAAAAAAAATAGGTTCCTGAAATTTTGTCCAATTTTGAGGAAAAAAAGACCCCACAACATCCAACTACCATATTAAAATAGGTTTTAAAAAACTGAATAGACAATATAGACACTGTTAGTCAAACACAGTTCTTTTAAATAAGAATGTTATCTAGTGTTGGACAATAAACCTCTCATATTAGTTTGATAGTCTAATAAGTAAATGATTAAAATAACATCATTCTACAATATTCTTACATCCGTGCTTCTGAAATCCCTTTTTTTAATCACACAGAATAACTGTCCTCTTCTATTATTTCTGAGAAGACAGTTAGAAATGGCATGAGGAACAGGAAATGGGCTCTGCAGGTTGTGGAATACCAAACCATTCCTTATTCCCTTCATAGCACAAACATGTAATTAGAGTGCCTGAATGCATTAGAATTTAAGACAAATTTGAACACTTTCCTTTTGGAATTTGGTGTGCATCTCAGGAAACTTAACAGCAGGCAGTGGGCATCACTGCAGTAGCATGAAGAGTAAAGAACTAGTTTTAAAGAACAAATACAGTCTTTATGCTCTCTGATTGCACATTAATATAAAATTATCTTGGCCACATGAGGGTTCCCTAATCCCAGCTGCTGGCATTGGACAAGATGATTCTGGGAGAATGTGTTTTCTGCCACTGTTTCTGATTGCATCTTACTTGAGGATGGTTCTGGAGCTGTACCAAGCCTCCAATAATGCCCATTGTGTCCCCACCAGCTCACAAAAAATACTTGGAACATGTCACTCATATGTTGCTTAGGTCTCTGCCTGCCCACAACATCTGTGCAACATAGGTTTTGTCCAGAAAAGAGAAATGTAAATGAAGTAAGAACCATCATGTTTGCACTGTACTGAACAGGATGGCAGATCACAAAAAACCTGTACAGATATACTAGACAATATATTTGCTTGTTAAGTTTTCAACCTTGGCACAGTTCTTTCTCCTCCCCTCTCTACCCTTGCAGTATATTTCAGGTCTTGAAATGATATGGGAAAATGCATGTGCATTTCAGAACCAAACCACACTACATGAACACCACTCCTTACTTACCATGGCTTGGAAATCCATCATTACACAGACTCAATAGCCAAATCTGTCACAGAGGAGGTTAAAGTGCTCCCTGTTGCAGTCAACAAACTGAGATTAAAGGTTGTGCATCATATAGGCACAATTAGCATTTTTTCTTCTCTCACAAAGCTTTTGTTTACTTTGGTTTTGTTTTAGGATTTAGAATTTGGTGCTCTGCATTTGAGGATTTACACTTTTTTTAGGTTAAGGTGATAGAGAGGTCATTTGAAGTTGCTTGTTCTTGAATAATTGAAAACCCCTATAAGACTATTTCTAAAGGGCAACAATTTAAAACAAGTATGGGAGATATACTTGTTATTGTAAAGGAAGGCCTTTTGTTCCACAGTTTTATGGTGGGATTATTTTTTTGTTTGTTGAGATATGAATTCCTTGAGCTCCATAGACCAGTAGTCCCCAGTTCATGGCACATGGGTAACATGTTGCCTGCAAGACCCTCTAATTAAGGTTGACAGGGAGAGCAAAATATAGTGTTGCACACAGTATATTTCTAGCTCAGTAGCATTGCCCATGGGCCAGTGAAGTTAGGGATCACTGCTCTAGCAGCTTAGAAAAGTGTCTGTTTGGCTTGTTCGCATATCTATCATACTCTTTACTTTGTATTCTGTGAATTTTCTCTCACCTTTGCTCCCAAATGTCAGTCATAGTCAGAAAAGGATGTCATCACTGGCTAAAACTTTTTCCATTGAAAGGATTTTTTAATACTTTAACATCTATTAAAGTAGAAAGAGTGACAAGCAGATGAAAACATTTTAATTCCTATTACACCAAAATATCGGCTTCTTTTGTGATACAAGTACAACCAGTGGGACAAAAATGGAATGATAGGTGAAGGCGTTTGAGTTTAAATACTGGATATTAAAGGAGAGAGAGGGAACAGAACATCACTGGGTGCATCTACACAAGATGCTACTGCGCAGTCATTACTGTATATTTATTTAGTACTTGTATTAGCAAGTAATAAATGCACAGTAGCCAGAATTACTGAGCAGTAGCACTGGTGAACATCTTTTAGGTGCCACTACTGTGTAGTAGCCTAATAATATTGCACAGTAGCATATTAGCACTGTCCATGCTACGATGTGCTGCTGCATGGTATATCTTGGTCAGTATCTCATGTAGATGTACCCATTGAGTAGGATTTATGTTCCAGGGTTCCACGGTGCCTGTGTCCCTCTGTTAAGCTCCCTTCTTACTGCAGTTAAGCAATTGTACATCTACTCTGCAACTATTTTTCCCTCAGGGAGGACAGGAATGGATTAATCCCCAGGACTTTAACAGGACTAGGGGATCTAGGATGGGGTGAACTTCACTGTGTGGGTCTTAACGCACAACAATAACTGTCTTACCATAACAGGGTTCATGTTTTTACGTCTCCATACCACCTACAGCACAACGAGCACGGACAATCTGCGTAAAAAATAATATTATCGTCCAACTTAATCACTGACTTAGTTAAGCAAAAGGACAAGGAGTCCACCTGCTGTTAATATGAGATTTGGAGAGGCTATGAGGCTTGGGATGATCTCAAAAGACTGACTTCTTTCCACATAAGATATAAAAATGTCCAGGAGTAATTTCTTGCTAATATCCTGAAATTAAGCTAAATTCCAGAAATGGGTTATGATGTTTCCATGCAGTTCTACAAAAAGGCAAATTTGGCAAAAGAATTTGTTTTTATTCAGATAAATGTGTTGTAAGTGGTTAATAAACTAGTATCGTAATGTTTCTGTGGTGAGGACTATGTCTCTCTTAGTTTAATGGAGAATAACGGATAAAAATGTCTGTGAAATTTTCAGCTTTGAGCCTATTCTTCCTTCCCCCTGAACTCCCAATGTAACATCTGCTGAACTAGTTGGGGCAATACGATGTGCATTGCAAAATCAAACCACAATTAGCAAATACCACACGGAACTAATCTTTTACTTCAGAATAAAATCAACACACTCTTGAGGTTGAAACATGTTTATATTGACTGTAATTGGCAGAAAAAAACATTTGTGGGTTCAATATCTGTTTCTTTGAGGTCTGATCCTGTAATGTGCTAAACATTCCTTATTCCCATTGACTAATTTGAGACATGACAGTATTCACAACCTACCTATGTAAGTGTTCAGCATTTTGCAGGATCAGTTTTTTAGTTCCCTTAGATTGCACACTTTTTTAAGAGCACTGTTACTTTGTGTAGGAAAAAGCACAATTGTTCTAAATGTATATTAAACAGGAAGAGAGTTTACAGA